AAGGGAAGGTTGCTTTGAGTTATGCGGATTTTTAACCGAAATATACTTAGTAAAAAGACTAAAAAAGCGCCCCTCACCTTGTTTTTGCTGTCGTAAACATTTTCATACAGATAAGCAGAGTGTTCCTCGCCGCCAGCGTTAAAGCTCACCGTTATCTCAAGACAAGGGTAACTCGAAGAGCAGTAGCGACCACAACTACAACTTTTCTCTACTACCGTCATTTCACTGGAGATGACTCTGCATTCGGCGCTCTCCAGCTTCATGTCGTTCATGGTGGGATGGACAATGAGGACTCCAAGCAGTATAAGCAATACCAAACCTACCAGTAAGAACGAAACGCCGAGTCGGGCGAGACGGTAGCTGCAGCTTCGCCGAGGGAGTCTACGACTGATCACCACCGTGTTCGCGATCCCTTGTTGGACATGTATCTCCTGCTGCCGACGACGGATGTCTTCTCCACTGACGACATTAGGACCAGGATAATATGGTCTGGGATACCCGGGGTTGTGCGGATGAAATGCACCCGGCTGTTGGGAATAGAAGGGTTGCTGTTGAACGCTCCCTCCGAAGTTCGTGGATCCAGGTTGTGGATTTTCCACTCTATACTGTGGCACTTGGGTGTATGGCGGTGGATGTTCTAATCCAGCCCCATGTTGGCCTCCGTGAGGTTCGTTATTTGAGGAGGCAATAATAGTCCCGTCGGCGACACTAGATTTCTGCTTGGCGTCCATGTTCAGTCTATTCAGTCGTATAACGTCATCGCAAGATCCTCAAAGCGTACGCAACCTCATTCCCAGGGTCCTCTCCTTTCCTCCCTCAGGAACGAGGTTGAAGAGGGTCAGGAGACCTGCTGAAAACTTCTTTGGCCCGGAATCCCTCAGGTGAAGCCCACGAGGAAGATTTCCGTTGTTATCAGAACACACGAAAATTTCGGGTTCGTGAGAATCAACGCGTGGGAAAATGTATGATAAGGACAGATATTTCTTTATATTTTAGTATGATAAGGACGGGCATTTTTCCACACGCGTGCGTGAGCACTTAATTAGTCAGTGATAGGACCTCTCACGTTTTCAAACATCTACAGAATTCTGAACATTGTCGCGCCTTGTGTTCAGTAGATTGTTTCCCTATCTTAGATCACGCCTCTACGAGTTTCCAACTCATGTAAATCTAAAGCTATCCTTTTAATTTTCATATTGTCACGTTGTCTGTTGTTTCTAGCTTAATTAGCATGTACTTATAAACTTGTAACGCTTTGTTAATCAGCTGAAGATGACAGAGATTTCTGTCGAAACATGTCTTTTAAACTCAAAAGTTTTGTCGTTTTCATTTTAAACTTTTAAGGACAGATAAGAGTTTAATTGCCGTTCACCCGTTTAACCTGTAGATATTCGTTCAGTGGAAAGTTATTTTTTTCGTCCCTTGCCTTTCTTGGCGGCATGTCGCTGTAGTCTGTTACGACAAGTCTTTATCCAGTGTGAGAGTCGCTCGCTAGTTAAACCTCGAAATGCTCAAAATTCCAACCAGAGTAGGCGTTAAAAAGTTCAGATATCAAGAAAAAAAACCATAAACGTTTATCCTGCTTTACCATGTTTGGTACGAAATGAAAGTTCTAGAGTGGATTTACGTGCTTTGATTTAACCATAGTTCATAGACTGAGCCAGTGAAGTTACCCGTTTTCCAGCTTTGCGCCAGACCTCAGCACGGCCAACATAGCGGCGAGGAAAAAAGAGGAAAAAGACATGGCCGAAAAGTCCCCGGCGTGACCAGAAGCCTATTATCTTTTCTGACTTGACACACTTGAGACGACGTCGTTGTTGTCGTAATTGAAGAGTGCTGGAGAAGAGCCAGCAAAGCGAAAGAAAGTGAAAATAAGTGAAGCTTGTTTATGAAAAAGAGGAGCGGGAATTTCGTTTATCCTACTCCTATGCAACGTATACCCAGTGTTTGTATCTGCTGCAAGTTCGAAATTCCAATGACTTTTCTGCCATCTAACGTGAAAGAAAATGTCAGATTTCTGGTTCTTCTGATATTTTATTATTACTAATTGTCAAACGTTTTCAATTGTTTCCTTCAACGGCTAAGAGACAAATGAATTATTTCCGTGTTTATTTAGTGGTCAGTCGCACAAAATAAAGAAAAACACTAAACATTTAATAGAAAAAATATATGAAAAAAAATACGTCTTAAAAGTACCGCAAGTACAACTGAAAACTTTGACGTGTAAAAAAATAAGATAAAAGAATGATGAAATAAATGGTTTCTTTCCGTTTCTGTAAATGCATTGATGGACATTTTGCCAAATCTGAACGAGGAGTATTTGTACTTTGCTGAATCAGTGCTTTCACGTGCTTCGGCATTGAGTTCATTCTTGCCACCTCACGACATATGAAGTAGAAGAGAATCAGACATACTCATGTTCCATTATCTTGAACAACCAAAAATAATCACGAGCGCAAGATTTAATTGGCGGTGAGTTCTGTGCTACAAGGGTTTCGAGTCGAAAATGAAGTTAAATCTATTTGCAAATGTTGCAGTCTCGAGTTTCTTTTCCTTAAAGAAAAAATCTTTCTATATTCTCTTCTTAAATTCCTGTTCAAAAAACCGTAAAGAAAAGGATTAATTGCCCCTGAAAAATTGCCCAGAAATAGATAGAAAACATAGACTTGTCTCGGAAAGGAAACTTCACCTCGGAACGTGTCTATAAAATCTATTACCGCAATTGGCATCCAACAGGCCAAAAGTCCCATCACCGTGATGAACAGAATCTTCGTTACTCTGACATCCGCATGAGTTATGTTATCCACAGCGGTAGAACACGATCGCAAATTTTGAACTGTTCTCCGGTGAATACGTATTTGTCTGAACACAAGAGCATAGCATATACTTAAAGTAAAAGTAGGCACTCCGACATAGAAATACACGATGAAATTTGGAAAGGAAATTTCAGCTGTTTGGAAGCAAAACAACTTTCCGGGATGGAAGACATAACGTCGACCCGAAATTAAATAAGGTAATGGTTCCAGACAAGCTAAGCCGACTCCAAATGCTATCATAATTAAGGTTCTCCGTTTCGTAAAAATTCGTCGATAACGTTTCGTTAGCACCAGTCGGTAAAACCGATTGATTGCAGTCAGAGTCAAGGTTAACAAAGAGGCGCAAGCCAAGATTATGACAAAAAATCCTTGAGTCTGGCAAACGTTGTCATTAAATGGCCAATAACCAACGATGGCAACAACTATAGAATTAGGAGCACACAACAAGGGTAAAAGAATATCAGAGATCGCCAGAGACACGATGTAGTAGTTAGGAATCGTTCGGAGTCTTGAGTTTCTGTAAACCGCCAGAAGAACGCAGGAGTTTCCGATGATTGCCACCGAAATAATTAACAGGTAGAAAAACGTTTCACATATTACAACCTTCCTGTCTCGGTTTTGGAGCTCTTTTGCCAGAGTCGTGATTCCTTTTGCCATCATCGCCATCTTCTCAAATAAGTTGAAGATTTTGCTGTATACAGAGAATGTGGCGATTTGGATGAACTATGGATGCCAACCACTTTTATCGGGCCCGCCCTTAAGCTAGTAGCTGAGGACGAAAAGAAGCAAGCTGAATTGCATGAGACAATGTGAGAAACGTTGTGGAACGTTGCCAACCTCACTTTTTCATAACCATTTCGCTTTCGTAGCACTCTTTGCTTAGTACATTCCTTCGCTTCCTGTACCGCGTTACGCGTTCTCGCGAAGGCCCTCGAACTGTCGTAAATGGGGAGGTGTTACGTTTTTGTATCTGACCCCTTTCCCCACCCCCCTCCAACGCCGAAGGAGAGTTAACAAACAATCAAGGATAGATGTGGAACAAAACAGGCAAATATAAAACAGCAAATGATCCCACGGCTGAACCACAATGTTTATTGATCACATTCCAGCCCCTCAGTAGAGAATTACTAAATACACGAGTACAAAACATACCATCGTTACGTCTTGAGTACATTCCCTTCCCCTACCCACCCCTAAAACGTTTTTATTTACACTTAGGGTTTAGACTTCTATTCAATGCATAATAAGGTAGGCATGGGAACGTTGGGGTGCATGCGTAGTAAAACAATTATGTGCCGGCTTTTTTGTGGGAGAAGTACAAATCCGCGAGAGAGATGGGCTGGCAGCTGTATTCACTTCTCGTTCTCCTTACGGCGGCACTGCCGATGGATTCAGTTTTGGCAGGATGGCGAGAATCATTAGGGCCTTGGCTAGCGTTATCTTCGGCTACGGCAGATAACACAAGCCTCCCAATCGGCCATGATAATTCCCGCTTCATACCGGGCAATATTTAGAGTTCTGGTTATTTCTTATCCCGTTTGGACCACCGAAAGTGATTTTTGAAATAGCAGGGACTCGAGATTTTATCCAATGTAAAATTACAGACACACTGCGCGGCTCAAGCCCCCATCTGGCATGCACTTCTTTCACTGCTAGGCCGTAGGAGCCTGGCGTAGGGGCTGAGGTATGATAAGATAGCTAAAATCGAGTTTTAGGCGTCTATCGGAAAAGAAGACTCTTTTGGAAAGTTACGGGTATGGAGCAAGAGATTATTCATAATTTCTTGGCACAGAGCTAATCAAAACATGGCGATGAATAGGCACTAGAAGCCATAGACAAAAACCTCTTTTTTAATTTCAATTTTAATATACGACTTCTGCGTCATTTGATAAATTACCAGAGTTGTCGATCATTTCTCGGAGCATACCTGCATTAGACATAGTCAAAGTCTATGCCATATCTATACCATATCTATGCCATATCAGAGATCGATGGCAGCACGCAAAAAAGTATATAAATATATAAATAAAAGAAGGCAAAAAGATGCAGCTTCATAATCAGAGTACTTCCTAGGACAGACAATAAACTCTCAGATGTGGTTAATACAAGAACCCAAAAATATATTTTGACCACACGTTAGTACGATAACTAATCTTTCAAACAATTCGTAATGAAATGTTTCTAATTAGGCTATTGACGAAAGATCTTGATATGGAACAGAACTGGAGGATTCATTTCGCTTCCTGCAATAGCAGTATCCTTTATCCCGGCAAAACCCTATACCCAGCAGGACAATGCCGATGGCAAAAACTATCCCTGGCCATAAAAAGGAATGCATCAGCTTCATCCGATCGCTCTTCAATAGTCTTTGTGTAAAAGCTTCCTTGAGGTTTTTGGGATTGTAATAGCAGGTATACGTGTCGTTAACTCCACCATAATTGATCCAGAAGACTGTCACATTTCCGTCGTTATAGAAGTCTTCGTAGTCACACGGCTGAGTGCTGCACTGGAAGTTAAGATAAAAAGAAAAATAATCATACAGTCATTATCAGTACGATGGACTTTGGGTCTGGGTTCGAAATGGTTTCCAGGACCTTTTGATTTTTTTTTTTTTTTCAGCCCAAATGACGGTAAAACACAAAACTCAGTAGCAAATGAAATGACATGTGCAAATGACATAGCTTTTGTAGAAAGTCGTCAAAATAAGATTAGCGTTAGTTATGGGAAAGTCAACCAAACTGATTAAATAACCTCACCAAATTATGTCTTCATTTATAACAGATTCTAATGCGGTTGTTTTTTTTCAGGCGATGAGGTCAAATGATTACGTATCGCCATTCGTATAACATAATGGTTGGATGATTTTTTTGCGTTTTGGAGCACTATCATTGGTGCATTTTGATCTTTGTCTTTTTTACAAGTTCATATTGTTCCTACGTAGGTCAGGCCACTTTTCTATTGTTGTTATGCATTTTGATTGTGTACAATCGTGCTTCTGGAATTTCGATTGCACTGGCTCTTGATTTTATTTGAAAGAATTAAATAAACTATTCGTAATACAGCAAAATATATATATATACAGTTATATGTAGAGTTATAGAAATACGAAGACTATGGTTTCATCCCTACAAGCCTGTTTCGTGACTGTTTCAGGCTTGTGGGGATGTAAGCGTAGTCTTTGTATTTTTCTAACTCAACATATATTGCGCTCTACTTTTGTATCGAGCACTGTAACACAGAAAAATTGAAACGCAGGCTTATATATACTATCTATATATTATAACTATATATCTGCAATTAATACGGTTTTAGGGACTGTCCTTCTGCGTACTTACCAGAAGTGGCACCTCAAGTGAATTACAATTATTATTTAGATACGAACTGAAAGATTCGTAATGGTTCGGACGATAGACGTGTCATTTTGTTCGCTATCTTTCGACCCCTTACCATGTAAACCTGAATTTCCCGACACGAAGATCATTTCTTGAAAAATTCTGCCCTATTTTCTGGTCTTACCTTATTTTTCTCCCTGTTGCTATTTTCATACAGGTAGGCTATGTGTTCTTCACCATTAACGTACAAAGCAACTTTTATCTGAAGGCAAGGGTAAGTGGACTTGGCCGATATGAAGGAGGGACGGTCGTTAGTGCAACTACAATTCATCCTGTCGCTTGCTACTTCAGTGGAGATGACTCTACAGCCGGACGTTTTCAGTTCCATGTCGTACACTGCGAAACGTGCAACTGTCAAACCGAGGACTATCACAGCCACAACACCAATCACCAACAAAACAGTCCCGAACACTGTAAAATTATCGCCAGTAGTATGTTTTCGAGAGCTCTCTGAGACCTTCTCATTTTCCATTTTGAGCCACAATGTCTTCAGCTTGAACGAGTTGTAATGCAAGACTTCTGACTAGTTACTGCTATTAGGTAAGATAAGAATTGTCGAAATAAACCAATCCCAGAAAACCGGAAAAGGAAACCACGATCAGAATAATTATTTCAAGTCACGTTTTGTCACGGCAGCTGCACTTGATGCATGAACGACCACGAAGCGTTTTCAGTTTATTCCACAGTTAGCTAGTTGGTATCAAGAGTAAAGTAAAATGCCAAAGTAAAAATTAATATATACACTATATAATAAATTCCCAAACAAGTAAGCAAACAAATAAATAAATGGCAAACAAATAAATAGAAAAAAAAAAAAAAAAAAAAAAAAAAAAAAAAAAAAAAAAGAAAGGCATGCAGGAACAAAAGAACGAATCAATGATGTTAGTGTGAACAAGCGTTAGGCGGGTTTCCGCTTCTCCCTTCTTCGTCATTTTAATCGCGATTTGGGTCAAAAGGAGACTAATTTCGGTTCTACGGTATTTTGATGAGTTTCCAATTCGCCGGAATGACATTGGTCCCTTCTGACAGGCTTCACAACAGAGTAGTGTTGACACCGGCCCACACGAGTACGATAAAGATCTTTTTTTTTTTAATGACGACCGTCAAGATACCACAACACGGGAAATAATTATAATGCTATCCAAGTGCTCATTGTCTCTGTTATGACGTCATGTGGATCGACGTTCTCCTTCACATGAGTCACTATCACGTACCAATAGTGACAAGTCACCCTTGAATTAAACCCGATTATTTATTTTCACCATAATATTATCATTATTATCATTTTTAATTGAGACAAAATTATCTTTTTGGTGCAAAAATAAACATCCATCGTTAATTTAAAAGGGTCATAAAGTGAACTGTGAGGTAGACTGACGGGAAAACTGTCAAAGGTGACATATTCCAAGTTGCCATGCATCTGTTTAGTTAATGGGCACATGTCGTCAAAATGTGGTAGGAACAAAAGAGTGGCATAGAAGGGGTCAGCCACTTGTGTCACGAATGTTCTTGCCATTCTGCGCTCGAAATAAAGGCAATAACAATCAACGCAAATCCATAGATCTACGACAGACTTTCCTGGAATTGTATTTAGTTCGTCAAGTAAGCAGTAGAAACAGAATTCACAAACCATCATTTTACTTCGAGCGTTGGAAACAATTGGTAATCACATAAAAAACTTTTGATTTCTAAAGAAAATCTGGTCGCCCACGCAAAAAAGCAAACAAACTAACAAAATACATCACCAACGACATCAACAACAAACATATCAACAAAAAGCCAACTTAACGTAAAAAAAAAGAAATTCTTTTCCCTAAATCCTTTTAGGCAGTTAGTGAGGACTGCGTCTTTTCATCCACAATAACAAATATCCCTTGTTCGCAGACATAGTTATCAAATTGCCGAAGTTATAAGGAAGCGATTTAAAGATTGACTGCTTTACTTTCTGACCAGAATTCCTTTCTCGTAGAGCAACGTGACCAGGTCAATCTGAAGAACAAAAAAAAGTCAAAACAAAACAAAACACGAGAAAAAGAATATCAATAAAAGTGTGAGCTTGGTAGAAAATTGAAACGTTCAAATGTAAATAGCAGTGGAAAAGAGGGGAAAAAAGTGTTTTACCGTGTAGTTCATATCTTCATGAGGCAGGCCTTTCACTGCAATGTAATCAGGGTAACTTTGTAAAATGCTCTCTATTATTGGACCTGCCTGAAAAGTGACGAGCACAACAAATTAACAAATAATAATAATAATAATTGTTATAATCATAATTATTATATCAAAATAAGAGCAATTTTCAACAGGACTTATGCGCGATGACGTCAAAACATTTTTTCGCAGCGTCAAACCGAGGCTTGGTGGTGATCGCTTCACATGTTTTGTTGATATTTAGAGAAATAATCAATTCCCCTCGTCTGTTTTTTTTTTTTTTTCACTTTTTGTTCGAAGTGCCTCAATGGTGTAATGCCTAGGGCTGTACAACCTCTTCAGACATGAAAATCAAACGTCCTGGCATCGCTTGCCGCAAGAGAACAAAGAACTGCTTTCGAAATGGCTTGCAAAAATTCGGCGAACAAACACGCCAGTTAATGAGCACTCGAGGCTATGTGGCGACCACTTTGAAGCCGACTGTTTTAGGAAAATCCCGGGTTCCTTGCTTGTCAACTTGAAACCAGGGTCAATTTCCACAAAGTTTTGCTTTGTTCAAGAAAAAACACCGAGGAAACCTCCATCAGAGCGAAAATCGGTCGAACGAAAGCAGCCGACTTCGTACGTAAACACAGCGTCGGACGATCTGCCAGAAACATGCGATGGCTTTGAAAGTGACAACATTGGTGATGGTTTCGCGGTTTTATACCAGTTTGGGTACCCGCGTTTTCCCGCGCTCTAAGCAGTTTGGTTGCTTTTACCTTCTCGTTGGCTCTTAAAAGTATTTTCCTTTCTTATGGTTGGCCATTGTAACTACTTTGGTTTTGGTGCTTTACGGCACCCAATCGAAACGCACTCTTACGATAACTTAAATTAACAAAAGCAGCAAGACACGGTGTTTTTGAAACAAATGCCTTTCTTGGCTGAGCTCAAAACAAAACGGTAGATCAAAAAATACATGTAACTGGACTAACTTCAATTGATCGAAAAAGTTCAGCTTTCCCTTCCAGATTTTTCTTTCCTGTCACAAATTTTCTCTGTCGCTACAATTTTCCTGGTAAATGTTGAATTACACCGAATGCTTCTTATGTTTCTACAAAAAAAAGATTTACGCGGGAAATCACCGCGAGGCTGGCCCAATTCAATCCATTTGCGCATACCCAGCCTTCAGCCGCTGTGTTGACAAAAGCGAGTATTTACTTCTTATCATTACCTCTAAACCAAACTCCAAGCTGTCTAACTCAGTCTCGTGGTACACTCTTGAATTCTGCAGTGTGTGATAGACATGCACGACTTCACCTTCGACAACTAGCCTACAAGAAAATAACAATTTCCAAACCTAATCTACATTTGCATGTTTTGCTTTCAAAAGTAAGGCCAGAGTTGTTTAAAAGACAACAAAGAAGAGGTGGGAAGAGCCGTTGTCTGATCAACGGTATCGGGGCCGCAAACACGAAAAGTGGAACTGGAAAGTCAGCGACACATGGTATCCACGGGGCGAAAATTGTTAAACCTCAAACTAGCACCCGAAGTGCTTCATTTCAAATGAACCCTTTAGCCAACTAAGGAAGCTCTTGATTGTTAGACAAATTCTCCTTGTCAGCACTTTAGGAAATGTACGAAGAACAGTATGGAGACCTTGCACATTGATGATAGGATGTAAAGGGTTAAAATGAGAACGGGGGATCTCACCTTGCTACTCCCTTTCGTGTGAGTCTGACTTCTGTTTCCTCGTTGATAGACACTTTGTCGATAATATTTCCTTCTTTCCACGAAGAATCGTTACCAAAGACACTTTTCTTTGTTTCTTCTAAAATAGAACAATAAGCTACTTTCACTTTAACAGCTTGTAAATAAATCTGGCGGTCATCTGTCAACCACCTGTTGGTCTACTATCGGCCCTCTGATGACCAGCTGTCCATTATGGACCGACAGTTAGCTGTATAACATTACATCCTTAAACAGCCATCTGATCCAATTCCTAGAATTGGATTAGATAGAAGAAAATGGTTAACACTTCCAGATTCAATCATTTTATTTCACTCACCTTCTGTTAGAACTGGAGGTAAAGAATCTCGAAGGACTCCCACAGCAAACTGGCCATTAACAATAGAAAAAGTTAGTAAAAGGAGAAGGATACGCAAAGGAATACCAATTAACCCAATCACTCCCAAGATCTCGTTTGTGATTCTCCTTACTGTCTACTATACAATTCCTTTGATGCTTGTTTTGAGACTTTGGTATTGGATCAAAGACTTTTTTTTTTTCATTATTCTCATCACTCGTCTCCTTGATATTGTATTGAAAAATGTAAGGAGAAATTTTGTCTTGATCACATATGGGTTCAACTTAAAACAAGCCAAGGGAAGGGGAGGGTTGAAAATTTATCAACAGATTCTAAAAAATGAACAATCACAAACTTCAGAAACTTATTTAAAATGCAAGCTAATCATCAAGCAATAAAGTGTAAACAACATATTGAGCAAACAAACATCTGCAGTGGAACATTTTACCTGGTCAACAGCTGCATCAACTGGAGCATGGGACACTAACTTCATCATGAGTTTTTCCGCTTTCTTCAAGAAATCTGACCTTTCTTTAATGTTCTTACAGAAAAAAAAAAGATAGAGAAAAAATTATTTCATGATCAAGAAGCTGGTTGTAAAGGAATTCCTTATTCACTCATGCCAGAAGAGGCACAAGCAAAAAAAGTTGAGGTTTGAGCCCTCAAGGCCTTCCTTGATCTTGCTGATCCATGTTATACTGGACATGTTGGCTTTAACATTCAATCTGAATATTAAGCACTCCATCACCAGAAAGGATCCCTCCTTGACAAGCCAACATCTCTGGAAACATAATAACATTTCACTAGGTAAAGAACAGATAGTCTGATTTAAAAAGGATACAGTATTTATTATTTGGCAAAGTTGGTTGTGTGTTTGTGGGTTAAAGTTTTAAGTTAAGCAGTTTTTTCAGTTCTTACTATGGCAACTTACCAATTCTGAATTTGCTACACCCATGTAGTCAAGATAATTAAGGGGCAGACCTTGACGGAAATCACGATCTTCTTCAAATGCAACCTGCAGAGCACCTGGAATTAACTGCAAATTTAAACAATAAAATAAAAGTGAGAATGAAATAATTTTGACTTGGCTTTAATAAACAATCCAATTCCTGTACATGAATTTCAAAAAATTAAAAAAAAGGGACAAACTGAAAAATCAAATTATTCTACGTGATGTTAAAAAATTAAAGGAATGAAAAGGACATGCTGAAAAATATATAGACTATGAGAAGTCTCTCCTTTTTGATGGAATCTGTTGTGGCAGTAAAAAAAAAATTCAGCTAAAAAAAAAAGAGAATTGATGTCAGCCTGCTGTACAGAACTCCAGGGGTGAGGTGCCTAATTTATTCATGCCTCACTCTAATAATTCTGCATGGTTGCTGACATAATTTTTTTATTTTCACTGAATTTTTTTTTAACTTGTGCAAAGGACCTTATCAAAAGGAGGAACTGCTTGTAAATATTTAAAAAACCATGGGAGGAAGCTCACCTTTTCCATAAAATCCATCCAGGATGTCTTTTGATATGTGGATAGCGTGATGTGTAAAGAATGGGTGTCACTTGGTGTGTCTGCCTAAAAATGATGAAATAAAAACACATTGGATTTATAATCATTCTTCCAGTAACCAAACTTGAGTGGTGCTATTACCAATAATTACAGAGGCTTGAAAGATTAGGGGCAGTCTTAGTCTTCTGAAATATGAATTTTTCAAACAGACCTCTACATGTAAGTTCACATATCTAGGTATGTAAACTACCAGCACTGGAAAGTCAAAATTTGGTATTTCTTGCTAGACATAGCATTAGAGGGATAGGGGGAAGTCAAACCAATATTTAAGCCTCCTGGTAAGTTTATTTTTGGAGATTTCCAGTGCAGTGGTGTACATATACTCCCTAACCCCTTTTCCTTCACCGCAGATGTCTGGCCTGGTCATATAACCAGCTCTTTATTCCGTAAACAGGTTAAATTATGAAAAAATATAGCCCCTGTTTGGCAGTAAGTTACAGAATTAACTTGTTCTTAAGGTTGAAAAAGTACAGGTTCAAATTATGTTTGCCTCTCCAGCACTGCATGCAATAAAATGGCAAACCTGGTGGATTGTCCCCCTTGGAAAATAAAGGACATCTCCAGCAGCAAGTTCTGTATCAAGAATGGGCTCACCAATTTCTTCTTGTGTAAAATTTTCTGCAAAAGGATTCAAAATTGCTTTGCATGAAAAAAGAAAAAATTTACTAATAGTTATTAATTTTTTTCTGTAACTTTTTTTAATCATCAACCAAATCTCAAAAACCTGCCTTGAAATTCACTGATTGATCAATGAAATGTCTGATTGACCAATCTAACTTGGTAAATCAAATGCTGTCCTGAAAAACAATTACCAGCATGTTAAATAGATTATTTCAAATGACAATGAAAAACTTACTGCTAGAATACCTAGGCAGGGCTTCAGCATCACATCTGCAAAAATAGTATTAACATGAGAAATTCCCAACTACAGCTTTATTGCAGTAAATGGCTTAAAGTGTAATCCCGAGAAGGACTGTTGTCGGTGGTAGTAACTGATGTTTCGACAACCTGTGCGGAAGTCATCATCAGAGTCAAGTGAATAGTTGTTGTCAGTAGAATGTTCTTATTTGAGTTTGTGTAAAATGATTGGTCAGTTTTGCCTTGATGTTATTGGCTGCAAGACTGAAGTGGCGTAAATCGGTCGCGATTGGTCTGTTTCGATCCATCGGTAAAGTTAAGCCATTCTGTATGGTTCATTTGTAATGTTTATGTCGTGAATGAGTCATTTGTATGGAGCCAGTAGTAGTTGACACCTGTTTAGGGGAGTCTGTTCTATAGCTGTATTCATGAAAATAACAAATGCAAGTGTAAAACATAACTCTACAATTAAAAATTTCCAACACTATAGCTGTATTCATTAAATTACAAGTGCAAGTGTAAAATATAAATATCTAATTAGTCTGCCTCTGTTCTTGATAGTTCCTATCTCTAAGGTTATTTACATGTACCTTGGATTATACAGTCTCCAGTGTTTCTTCCCTTCAAGTTGCACCACAAAGGCCTCAATGTCATCATAATGTGGGGCAAAGCCTTGAGAACCCGCAGGAGTTAGATAACTAAAGTAAAAATAAACACCATTTTTATTTTATATTAATGCGTTGACTCCCATGAATGATTAACAGGTAACTTCTCCCAGTAATATACTCAGTCTGGTACTCACCCTATCCAGTTAACAGGTAAAGAGAATACTCAAACGTAACAGGTGGAAGTTGTTGTCTTGATTTAATAGCAAATATTCTCTGCCAGATTAGCTACCTATCCCAAATGACTTTCATACTATTATACAGGCACTCACCTTTCAACGTTATTAAAGGTTGAGATAGGTTTACATTTTGTCACCTGTAAAATGCAAGGGTTATCTTTTATCGAAACAAAAATAGTTAAGAAACAGGAGCTTACACGTTGGCACCAACCAAACAACCAAAATACTCTTGTAAAAGGGATGTCAACTTCCACACTGAATGTGAAAAAGCTTGAGGATTGAGGAAACGAACAGAACAGCCATTCTATAAAGAAAACAAAAATTTGAGTCACTTTTGTTTAAAATCAAACAGAACAGAGATAATCTGTTACTTTTTGGTTCGGAATGTCATACCAAATTAGAATGAGAATTGATATTCCTACCTCATAATAATCCCAAACTACTGGAGCGTGAGCTCTCCCTGTAGGATTATGGGTCTCTCGTTGTCCATTTTTATATGATGTCACATCCAGATTGGTTGAAAATAGAACACGGTGCTGAAAACAGCAATAAAAATTAAGAGGAGAGATTATTGCACTAGAGAAACACTAACATGTAATTTTTAGACTATTCAAACAGCATCTAAAGGAACATATTATAGTTCTGTATTCCAATCACAATGCTGGTAGTATACCTGGTTAGCGAAACTGCTCTCAAAACAAGAGGCCCTCACTGCTGAGGTCATCATTGTTTTCATGCATAAAGTGGCCAAGGGTATTTCTAACTTCCACTGGATGGCATGCTACAGGTAGTTCATTGCAGGCAAACCTTGCCCCTCTCCTCATCCATCCTAATTAGAAGTTTCCTTGTCACTCATCTAGAGTCCATTAATACTTATAGGCAGGGAGAAGAAATGGCATTAGTGCTCATGGGTGGGAGAAGCAATGGATGGGTAACATTTCTCCCCCTCCCCCCCCCCCCAAAGAACAGGAAACAATGACCTGGAGAGGGCTGCAACCCTAACAGCTCCCTAAACAAATTGTCCTCACTTCTAGAGCCTGACTCCTGGTTCCCTAAGCACAGAATTATTTTAATTTTCTACTCTTCCTATGTATGTGATACTAATAGTTTGTTGGTAATTCCCCATCCCACCCCACCCCTATCAGATTATGAATTTCCTTATCAGTAAACTGGTATCTATTTACATTCTTAGTTCTTGATCACTAAACATATTCTCCCTGTCATTACAAAGGAAACATACAGAGATCAGGGTAGAGAATACACACACAGATGTTAGGGTGTAAAGGCCTTGTGTGTCTTAGACAGTATCACCCATTTTCAGTCGAGTTTCATCACCACAATTTAGGCAATGCATTTTCTGTAAGGGCCATAAGACTGATAAAATGCTAATATGTACCTCTCTAAGGATAGTATCTAATTCTTTAGTGCTGAACCAGCCATCATTATAGGTTAGATGGTGTCTCTTGATCAACAGTGGTTTTTGTTCCCATACATCACTGCAACAAAAGCAAATGAGAGATTGATCGTTAATATATCTACCCAATAATATATGAATACTTTTGGTGGAGAGGCATTTGCACTAGACTTCAGAGGAGTACAGAATATTTAAGCTTGTCTGAGGAAAAATAATAAGTTCCCTAAGAATAAAAAACTCACCATCCTTAGTAAGAGAAGGAGGAATAGAGATACAAAATGGAATGTCTTTCATGATTTATTTGTCTGATATTGACCTTCATTACTCTTCTTTCGCTATCCAATAACTACAGATCTATAGAGTGCATTAAGTATCTGGGTAAAAAAAAAATTAACTTCACGAAACACTGTTCCGAAAACAAATTGATCTGTCCCTGGGGAAAGTAAAAGGTTGAACCTATACCTGAAAAATTTCCCGGGTTTCACTGGACTTATCAGCCAGGAGAAAAGTCTGTCGGCCTCTATATCTTCTTGTTCCGAATTCCACTTGGCTTGCCCCTCCTGACAAGTTTCCTCATTCCCGGTCTCACTATCTGTTCTGTCCGATTTATCAGCGGGCAAACTATGTACAGTCAAGTTACCTGAAGACTTTTCTTGTAAATCTACCCGATCATAACTTCGATAGCCATTCCTCTTCTTTTTTCGGCTGGACAAAGACAGGCTCTGTCTAAGCTTATTAGCTTTGCTAAATAACTTCCCTTTTCCTTTCTGTTTGGGTTCTAGAATGTCTGGTGTCTGCTCCTCGTGATCGAATATTCCATTTGTTCCGTCGTCGTCCAAGCTCTTACTACTGACAAGTAATTTTCTTACTTTCTTAGAGGTGCTCTTAGAGGGATTTTCATCGCAAGGCCTTTTCTTTGACCCGGAAGGTTGGTTAGCCTTTTCTTCCTCTTTCTGGGAACTTTCTTCGTCCTTTCCAATCTGCGATTGATACACAGAAAACGCAGAACGTCGTCTAACGCTCGACTTCATTTTTCAAAACGATACTCGTGTAAACTTGATTCTCCCGCGTAATATATCAGCGGATTTTCGCTAACGGTATGCTCATTCGTGTAATTTTACTGAGAATTCTCTTAGGAGTGGTTTGAAGAAGATGGATGCTTCGTCGAAACCAAATAACTTTTCTTGGCAGCAGCTTTATGGAAAAACTTCCCGAGGAACCATCCTCGGAACTCACACTACAGGGCTTGGATATGTCGTTGTTATGTTCTTCCTTCTTTTTTGGCTCGAAATTTTTGAAGTGATACCGACGTTGTTTACGCACTCTGTCGAGCTACTGGCGACCAATTTAGCACTTTTTATTTTCATTATGATTAATGCTGCTGGAAACTATTTCTACTTAGTAACGACTGACACATCTTATAAGAAGATGGAACAATTCAGCGAGGGTCGGGATGGAGATTTCTATTGCCAATCGTGCGAACAAAATTCGCCTCCAAGGTCACACCATTGTTCTTTTTGTGACAGGTGTATCGTAAGGCGTGACCATCATTGCTTCTTTGCAGCAGCTTGCATTGGTCACGCAAATGCGCGTTTCTTTGTTGTATTCAATTTTTTTGCATTCGTTGGATCAGCTTATTCGGTGATCATAAACTTATTTTATTTACATCTGAAGATCGGTCCTTTGATTCCTCTCAGTTTTGAGGCCATTTGCAAAGTTGTTCCACTTTTGACAGTTTTTAAAGTATGGAACGGAAGCGTAACGTTGTATTATTTCCTGGTAGTTATAGTGACATGGCTATGTATGGTTCAAAGTCTGGGTTGTTCTAGCTGCTGCCTCTTTCAGCTGACTTTGATTTTCGCTGGGCAGACAACATATGAATGGCGCCATAATAACTTCGTTTACAGCAAAGGCTGGAAGAACAACTTTTACGACATTTGCGGAAAAAAGTGGTATCTCTGGTGGCTTTTCCCCTTTTTTCAGTGGCAAAAGCTTGCATCAAGAGAGGAAGAATATTATGCGCAATATAGTTCCAAAACCTCAAAATATGTCTGAGGACATCATCATGGTAATTGTCAATTATTTATTGTGCTTTCTCATCCAAATATATGCAAAAGTATCTCATCTATGATTGCTCTTCATTTATGTCAAAGAAGAGGAAGTCCAGTTTGAATATGACTTATTCCAATTGAATCATTTTTAAAGTTCCTCTTTTCATAATGGAGGGTTTCTTTTTAGCAAACTTTAAATCACCAAGAGCAAGGGCGTAGCCAGGGGGGTCCTGGGGTGCCCGTGACCCCCCCTTGGTAGGTCTTCTTTAGAGCAAACAACCTACAATATTCAGGTGGCAAAAACACCATGACAATATATTGGCCGTGAAAGCCATTGATATGGGCCTTCATGCCGCGATAATACAACTGAGCCCGCTGATACACGCAGGAGAGCAGCGGTGTAAATGGTGAGTAGCCTTTGTGAACCCCCCTTTGAAAAATCCTGGCTATGCCCCTGAAGAGGGGCTACCTTTTTGTGGTCAAATACAGTGTAACCTGCATTAAGGGGTCACCCACAGGGAATGGTGGGAGGACTGCTAAAGGTTCCACAGATTATGGGTATCATTAGAAAAGGACAAACAATGCCACTTTATGCCATAACTGATAAATCAATGTACCAAATCTTGCTTGACAATACTACTTACTTCAATTTTGGGAGAGAAACATCATGGATTAAAAATTACTTGGAAGATTATTCTCACTTTTTTTTTGGGTGGTTCCGCTTTCAGTGCCCCCATCAGTACGGGTGGAAGATGATAAAAACAGGCCTTTTGGACTTAATAAAGGGTGACAGTGACCACTTAAAAGAGGTGACAATGAAAAATACAGTGATAAAGGGGAAACAAATTTGGGACTTGCACAACTGACAGCTTATATACTACAGACTGACCAATTAAAATGATGCTGGTTAATACAGGTTCAACTGTATTTGTAAGTAGTCTGTACCTTTCCCTTCACCTTATTTTGCCAAAGCCATATTTCTTGCACTCACATTATTGCTTCTCCCTAGTGACTGAGGGCTCCAAGCAGGCTAATTTGTCACTGATTTCATAAGAAAAGACAAGCAACCTAAGTTGATTTAAGTGGATGTTGTTGACACTCTTTGGGTGACTCAACTTGAACTACAAATCTACTTATTACATCCATTTTGAAATCACTAGTGGTCCCTGTAATCTGATTGGCCCTAATTGGTGCAATTTATTCACGAATCGCACCATTTCTTGCTCTAAATTGCATCATTTTATGCTTGACTGAGTTTTTGACACATGACATCGAAGTCTTTCTGTTTTGCATGCAAAATTAAATAAGATGTAGAAGCATTTCTGGTTCCGCTTTTTTTTTAAAAACCGGCTCAGTACTGCATCAATAAAATATTTGAATTGACCTATATTTGACCTATATTTGACCTATATTTGACCTATATCCTGTATTTGGGCGATTTCAAAATGGATGTAATAAAGTGGTAATTGAACCATGTGCCATGCAATGTTGGTCTGAAATCATACTTGTGTGCGAGTTTGATTTGAAATCACGCATATGATTTCAGCCCAAATTGCACTCCACTCAGTTCAGTTACCATTATAAATCAACCAAGGCTGGTGTCGTAAGGCCCTCAGCCCTTGGAGATATCTTGTGTGGAGGGTGCATGATATCAAGGTTTCAAACAATGAAAGAGCAATTTTTTCTTTTATTGAATATTTTAATATTTTCAATATTAGAGTACAAGACTGCAGGCACATAGCACAAAATATCACTTTACATCACACTGATACAATTCACTAAGTTACTTTATCAAGTTAACTATTCTAACATATACTATAGAGAGGGAGTGAAAGGAAGTTTTGCTTGATGTGAGATTGAGTGTTTTTAATTTCATGACCTGTGAACAATTATAATGGCATGAACTGTGAATTTTTTGCTCCTAGAAGTACTTGAATCTTAAAGTTGTCTATCTGAGTTTTCGTGATGTGTTCTTTCAACTTTTTGATGTGTGAGAAACATGTATCAGACCCCCATCTTTGTCCCCCTCTATATAATGCACACAAACACATCCACACACACTTGAATTAAGTAAGGGTGGGAGGGTGGGGGGGGGGGAAGCTAAGGGAATGAGATGCAAGAAGCTTTCCCCAAGTGAAGAATTATTTGGTTTCCTCACTATTCAGGTTTTCTTTTTATTTTGTTTTGACAAAGGAAATTAAATCTAGACAAAAAAAAAAAAAACAAATGAAAGAATTGTTGTTTCATCCGACCTGGTCCTTGATCGTACCGTTAACAAGTATTCGAAACAGCGGTTGTTAATAGAATCTATGCGCATTTGCGCTTGTGCAAACACTTTAACAACCAGGTGGGGTGCCTTAAGGCTGTTAGAACCATGTTCTCTTACACAAGTTATAAACAAACCCAAGTCAGAGAGTCAATGTGTTTTGAAGCATAACCTTTTTTACTCTTTTTTTGATAAAGCCCAGAACAAAATGGCAAAACAACAAGATACCCATTCTTGAATAAGCTTTGTGTCCGAAAAGTCTCGAGTTTTCCTTTTCCTTGCTTTCGTTACCTTTTGCAAATTTCTATGAACACTTCATTTTCCTCGCGCTCACTTTGCGAGACAGTGGTTGTTTCTCATGTTTTCCTTTGAAATTTTGCGCGGGAAATTAACATGCCTTACGTTTGGTTGTGTTAGTCTCGTTACGCGCTCGGTTTGTCTCTTCCTTGTAAGTGCACTACGTGACGTGATTAAACAACAGGGACTTTAAGCAGTCAGGACGGCAACGCCATGGAAGACGTCGATTAAAAAACGAGTTTCTGCTTTTAGTTAGAATTTCGAAAATGGCTGCCTGTGTTTAAAATGCAAATTAAAATAATTTGCCTCCGCGGTTTCGCTTCGCAGACGACGCAAATTTTGGTGATTTCACGTTGTTGTTTTGCAAAGGACGGCTAAGAAATGTACAAAGTTTTAAAACGCACGTGCTGGGCTATTNACGGTTCTCGCGTTAGCTTCGTCCGAAGTTTCGTCTTTGTCTGTTATTCCCGATTCGTTTTGATAATGGCTGACGGCATGCATAAGCTCCAGTCCGTCCAGTTTTCTGTTGCCGTCGTAATCATGAAGTCGGAAGAAATGGAACTGTAGGTCTTCATCACTCATTTCTTCTTCTTTGACATCAATTTCCTCTCTCACATGCTCCTTGATATGACTGAAAGTGAAACAAATTTTGGAACTGTGAAAAGCTGACCGTGGAATTACTTGTTGGTGACAAACTGCGCAGAAAAAAATTAAAAAAAATTATGATAATAATAATAATAATAATAATAATAATAATAATTTTTTAATCAAACTTTATTAACACTCAAAAGCAAATAACTATTTACAAGTTAAAAGTAAAAACGACCTAATAGTAGTTCCGATTTCAATTAAAATCCTATTTACAATCTAATCCTTTTCATCATCATCAATATTACTATTGTCGATGCGAAAATAAAAATGCGTCTTTATTGTTCAAGAGATAAAATTACACTACCCCTAAAATATTAATCATAATGATTTAATAAATTCACAAAAAGGTAGAAACAAAAAAAAAAGAGAAGGTATATATAAAAACTTAGTAAAATTCACAAAACTACGTTGGACACGCGGAAGCGTTGTCGAGGGACAAGTCCAAGTCGATGATATCGAGGGTTCTTCTGATGGATCGTGATCCTCTCAGGCATAGCAAAGCTGAACGAATGAGCGCAAATGACACCTTGGCTCTAATCCATGACATGGTGCTTGCATAGCTCTCTCCCTTCTTATTTGATACTAACTCAGCTAAACGTTAATGGTATATTTTACATTCTGTGCCCATTCCACCGGTTGTACTAAATATTAAAGGCGTAAAAGTTCCTTGTTCGACCTCCATGACCCTGTTGGCATAACGTCAGTGACGTTTCTTCTCATTCTCATGCTGCCTGTAAACTTGCTCGGGAGTCTTTTCGCGGTAGGATTCTGCATTTGGGTGGCGTACCCGAACATCAAAGAATGCAGATCTCTGTCGCTCCCAGAAACCTCGGGATATAATTAAATAATTATATAATAATAATTATAATAATAATAATCATAATAATAATAATAAATATTATAATTTTAATAATAATAATAATAACAATAATAAGCTAATTAAAAACCAAAATAAAAGACAGAAAGCTCTCTCAGCAACAAGAACAACAACATTAAAAAGAAGAACAGTTAAGTTCAAAGTAGTAACAACAGATTAGCGCATGACGCCTTCGTTACCAGAAATATTCTTTATGGTGAGAAAATGTGGACTTCCCGATCTACAGCTAGAGCCACAAAATAATAAAGGCATAAGTGATATAAAGTGAAATAAATAAGTGAAATAAATGGCATAAGTGGAGACGATCCACTTTTATCAACTGAGTTGATAACGTAAATTGGCCATCTTCAGGGTAAAGAATTCAGTTCTAAAGTGACGTTTCGTGCGTTAGCTCTGACTAAGGGCTCTCGCTCGAAACGTAAGCTCTACAAACTCTTTACGGTGGCTATAGATTTACTTCATCAATTCAGTTGATAAAACCAGGTTATCTTTTAATTCCAAAAGGGGTAAGTTAAACTGCGGTGCTGCGTCGATGGGGTGTATTAAAAGATAAGGTAATTTTAGTTTTATCCGACTTATTTGATATTGTAAATCTGGCCACTGTAAAGAGTTTCAAAGCCGGTGTTTCGAGCTATAGCCCTTAGTCAGAGCGACGAAAGGGCTAAAGCTCGAAACTTCAGCTTTAAGGTGCATGCCGATTTAAATTATAAACCGACAGTTGGTGGATTTCTTTTAATACCCTATCTTCATACTCTCCTATTTTCTTTCGGGTAAGGAGAATTTTGGAGTTTTTTTGGCTTTGAAAACTCTATATAAAAGTCGATAGAGCTACTCTTAGTTCAGACTCGACGGTCACTTAGTTCACACTTTACACGAGCGCGCTTCGCTCGCGTGGATGTTGTATTACGAAGCAGGTGCAATTTAAATGCTGAAAATTTAAATATCTGAAAGCATGTTTACACAATCATATACACAGACAAAATTATCCGGTGTGTATCCTTTTTACCGGCATTTTTCAAAAAAAGCTGGCAGCATACAAGTGTCGCTCGTCCTAAAAAATGTCTCCCAAAATGTGTTAACACTCCAGGTATTAGATTGAAACAGAGAGGGAAAGAAGTTAAAATATATGATTAATTAGACAATTCATATCAACCTCCACATAGTCAAGGGGTACGATTTCACACTTACAACGTTACTGCAGCAATTCCCGATTGAAATGGATATATATATTTATGTGATATTTAAATTTCAATACTTAATCTTTTAGGTGCCAACTGCTTGGTACTCAAAACCATAGAGATGCTCGAAGTGCACATAAGCATTTCAGCTGCCGTTAAGTTTGGTAGTTGTGGATGTAAAGATACTCACTCTCGATCGTGCGTGACTTTGGAATCGTGTAGAACTGACTTGGCCGCTTCATCAGAAAGCGCGAAAGAACCGAGAAAAGCAAAAACGAGAATACATGCCACGTCAAAGGTTGCCATCATTCTTTTTGATGTTGGTGTGTCACGATATTTTGTAAACCCGGGCAAATGTACTTATGCTAATTCACCTACTTAGTTCGTTAATGTCTGCACTATTATAAACTTCATTTTAATATCGGCTGTCTGGTCGAGACTACGTGTGAAGTTCCGATTGGTAAAAACTACAAAGGGATATCAAGAACAATTGAATTTCATTGCTTTAGTGCTGTTCTCTATTGCAAATAGTCTGAAGGTGTGTCCAGAATCTCCTTTTCTCAAGCCACAAATAATAAATTTGCGTCAGTTTAAGGAATTTTAAAGATTCTTATAATCAAGTGACTCGAGCTATCTGGGCCTAGTTATTGATTCGTGTAGAGGCGCAACACACCTCTATCACAATGGGTTAGTGATAGAGGTGTGTTGCGATGCAGTTCCTTATGGTTGTTATAAGGAGAATTTTGTCTAACAATCCAAAGCTTCTTGAGTTTCGCGATCATTTCTTCATTCTCATGACTTTAAAGTTTGATCCAGAGGTGATATTGTAGGGAGAAGCTGAGGTTTTTAAAAAAAAGAATTAAGGGTGGTAGTTTTTCGTGCGCTCGATGAAAGTAATGAAGGCGTTGGACCTGGGAAACAAGAGGTAATGAGAGCTGATTCTCTTCGCGACTCTGCCTTTTGAAACTTCAACAAAACAGTCAGCTGCCCTAATTAAGTGATGGCAATAGTTATGTTTGATCGTGACTAGTCCTGAGAAGAACACTTGACTCTTGAGATGATGACTTCCGCACAGGTTATCGAAACGTCAGTCACTACCACCATGACAACAGTCCTTCTCAGGACTACACTCACCCAGACGATCACACTACACTTTCACCTGAGAAGATATGTTGTCAGTAGAAGTAAGCAACGATTCGACAACCTATATGTAAATCATCACGACTTATCAGAGTCGAGTGTTTACCTGCATTCAATTTCCGCACTCGAGTTTGAAGTGTAGTGCGATGAAAACAGTTCTTTCATGGCAAGTGTGCTGATATTAAAATAAATGGCCAAAATCCGGACACGATCCTATCTGAGCAAAAATGTAGCATAACTGAGCAACAAATCGAATATCGTAGCTGGAATTAGCTGCGTGCAATTGTAAAAAAGCCATCTTAGCCTTGTTTTTTTAGTACGAATTATGTTTAGCTTCAGCACTTTAGGTCTGTCCACCTAAGAGGGTACGCGGGGGATTTAACAGTCAGCGGTAGACTCAGCTGCGACTCTTATTCACTCCTTTATCAGTAGCCGAATAGACTACTGTAAGAGTCTATTATACGGTGTGCCCAAGTGCCATATTGACAAACTGCAGAGAGTTCAAAACGCAGCCGCCAGACTTGTTGTTATGCAGGGCAAATTTTGCCACATAACACCGGTGCTCCGTCAGCTGCATTGGCTTCCTGTCTCATTTCGTATTAATTTTCAGGTTCTACTCTTAACTTTCAATGCCATTCGCAAATCCGCACCGTCCTATATCAATGATCTTGTCAAAATTAAGCCTTTAAATTCAAGATATGGACTGCGTTCTAATGACGGAATACTGCTATCTTACCCGAATTTTAACTTTAAAAACCCTAGGCGACCGTGCTTTCGTTGTTTCGGCGCCGAAACTCTGGAATGATTTACCTTCGGAAATTAGAATGGCTAAATCTGTCGACACTTAAAAAACTCTTAAAGACGCTTTTGTTTTAGTAAGGCTTTTTATTCTTAGTTAGCTTAGCTTTTAATATTTTATACTACACATGATGTAACTGGCATCTTTTACAAAGCATTGTTGTAATGATGTAATTAGTATTTATTTCATGCATTGTTGTAATGATGTAATTAGTATTTATTCCATGCATTGTTGTAATGCGCAATTGATCATCCGGTCATGGAACGGCGCAATATAAACCCTCAATTTTATTTAATTTTTTTTTTTTTTTATAGACCGCCACTAACCTGCTTTTATTGAAATCCTTAGTTATAAGCGTCTAGGGTTCGAAAGATCTCCTTTGAAGGATGACAATAAATTGTTTGTTTTACGTTCTGTTCCTGTGTGTGTTTGTCTGTTTGTTCTTTGCTTCTTGTTACCTTTGTTTGTCTCCTTCTATTTGGATGGTTTTATTTTGCCTTTTTTTGTTTCTTGTTTTCTTTGTGTATGTGTGTGTGCGTGTGTGTGTTTAAGCGTAGGATACAAAGAGCACATCTTCCAACGAATACAACGCATTCTTCAAAATTATTTAATTTTTTTAATAATTTCATCTTTTTTTAAAACAAAGAAGCTCCGATAGTTCAATTAATTTATTTAAGATATTTTACAGATCCTCTAAAGTTGATGAGGTAACTAATACTAGACATGACAGTTGAAGCAGCCACTGTATACCTGAAAAATCAAAAACAAAACCAAAATTATGTGACTATGAAATAAAACACAACAAACACAATCAATTCCTTAATTCGTTTTTAGTCTTTACCCTACATACCCTAACATGATTCAGAATGCACATCCTCCATACATCAGAATGCACTTTCTCCATACATCAGAATGCACATTCTCCATATATCAGAATGCACATTCTCCATACATCAGAATGCACATTCTCCATACATCAGAACGCACATTCTCTACACATCAGAATGCACATTCTCCACACATCAGAATGCACATTCTCCACACATCAGAATGCACATTCTCCACACATCAGAATGCACATTCTCCTTACATCAGAATGCACATTCTCCTGAGACATTTCCTAAGTTGCTCACAGGGAGAATTTATTTTCATATCTTTTTTTCACACATGATATGACTTAATTTTATTCTTAAGTAGGTAATATTCTTTGTAAATAATTTTTATCCATTTTATTTGTGTCCCCACATTAGTATGGGATATCTCCCAAACTAGAAGGTTCTTTGACACGTTAATAAAGTTTCTATCTATCTATCTTAACCATCAGGAGGTTGTTAGTGTTGAGTTGGTGATCACCTCCTTAATTCTCATGACCTTAATGTGTGATTCAGGGGGGTGATATTGTAAGGAGAAATTAGCTGCTAATCACTCTTAGGGGTTAACAAAACTCATATTTCCACTCAGAGCTGAGGGGTAAAAGGGAAAGTGATTCAACTTTTTTCTTGAGAGCTTTTTTAAGTGGAATGAGAAAAAAATTGATTTGCTTTTCTCCTGACTCACAAACCTCCTTTCCTCACTGTCTTCTCAGTATGCACCCTCCCCTCCTGCATAGCTCATACTGACCCTTTCACTGCCAAGACCTCAATAGTAATTCTCCTTACTGTCTGCTGCACAATTCTTATAATAATAGTTTGAAGAATTTGCTATTGGATCAACTAATTATTCCCTTATTGATATTTTCCTTAATTCTCGTCACTTGTCTGCTTGATATTGTATTGATATTGTAAGGAGAAATTCTGTCTTGGTCATTTATGGGAGTGAAAGGGATAATTAAATGCCTTACAGTCCAGACCCACTCCTGATTGTCATGCAGCACTGTAGAAAATGATTGGAGAACAGTATGGAGAATATGAATTTTAATGTCAGGGTATTTAGTAAATAAACCCCCTTGGGCGGTTGGTATGTCGGCTGAAAATGTCCAGGGCTGAGAGATTGTCGGAAAAATGAATATTTGGCTGAGAAGCGAAGCTTCAAGGGCCAAATATTCAGCCAAGGACATTATCAACCGACATACCAGCAAGCCCAAACGGGGTTTATTTATTTTATAACCCTTCCATGAATTTTCACATTGCAATTAAACTGCGCGTAAACACAGTCAAAAAGCCAGTGGTGATCTGAAGGCAAACATGCATGATTGACGCAAGCAAGCAAGTACATTTGATTGGTTTAAATAACTTTATTTTCAGTGTGATTGGACCAAAACTTGACAAGCTGTCATTTGAAATGAACTCTCATAACGCACCTTAGATCAAAAACTCCAAAACTTGGCGCTTTTGGTTCACATTTTCCGACATACTGTTCAAAAACTTTTTTTGCACTTTCTGGAACAGCTTTTGCGACCAGCTCCTTAATGTCACTATTGCTAGACTCAAAAAAACCAGTTTGGCTTCCTTCCATGTAAATAGGAGAACGGAAAAGTTGAAACTCTTGTGTTGACTATGTTTCTTTGTCACGGAAAAAATCGGAGGACAAATATCGACGCGGACGGGGATTATTGCGTGATAACTGTCCTGTGATTTTGCACCACATGACATAAAGTAACCGATAAAATCGCGCCAAAATTAATGGGTAGGTTATAAAAAGGAATAATGCTTGTGCTTTAGTCTAACACTGAGCAGTGGGGTGGATGGGAAATGCTTCTCCTTCTTAAAATGCATGACCATTGCTGAGGTTGTAGTTTGGACAAAACTGACCAAAATCCTATACAGGAGTAACTGTATTTAGCCACTATCAGCCCAGTCCACATCAAATGTTTTTTAACACAATAATTAATATATCACATATATATATATATGTGAAGCTCATCACCTTAGTTGTGATTTGAGCACTCTCGCATGGCAACATGTCTGCACTTGGTCCCACAAGTGTAGCGCCCAGGCAATGGTTTATTCCAGAGCTTGGCCCAGTGTCTGCACTGCACTGATGAGACCCACATAGGTCGAAACAGTGTGCACTGTCTGCAGTTATATATATATATATATCTCTCAGTATTGGACCAGGCACTGTCCCGAATGGTCCCGAATGATACCGCACTAGTGTCCCTTTGAACTTCAGTCGTATAATAAATCTCTTATTAACCAAGCTTGCTCGGGACCGTACTGGAAGAATATCGGCCCTCGGTCTTTTTTGTACAGACCGAGCACAGCGAGGTCCGTACTGCCATTCTCCCAGTACCGCCCTTGCGATTGGTTAATAAGATATATATTATTTTAACAATTATTCCATGAGCGCACGTTGGATATGAGATGATATAAAGCCAACGAGGTGCATGGCGCCGAGTTGGCTATAATCATCTCATATCCAACAAGCGCGAGTGGAATAATTGTTTTATTAAAATTGCCCTGAAGATATTAGACAAATCTTTATATTAGACAAATTTTTTAGCTCACTTTTAATTTTAAGCTGATGCATATGCTTACCATATTTGTAGATTATGGTATATTGGCTGATATACCATAATGGCTAAGCCAATAAAAAGTCTTGAATTGCATTATCCAATGATCCATTTGTTAGTATATATATATATATATATATATATATATATGTATGTATATCTGAAGATTGAACTAATCAGTGAGATGTAACCATCTGATGATTGCATAAGAGTGAAATTCAGAGTCACAGAAAAAGTTAAGTCTTATTGATTTGTTCAATCTTCAGGTATACCATGCTCTGCAAACGCATCGAGCACTCTACCGCAACTATAGACTATAACTAAGATTAATATATGAATGTATGCCAGTATACACCTATTTTGGAAAACACTGCACTAGAAAATATATATTTAATATTATACACCTTTTCTTTTCTCCCTGAAAAAGTCTTTTTTTGATGAGAAACAAAAAGGTATATAATGTATAATATCTGTGCGCTCTTAGAAATACATTCAAATCAAGTCCAAGAATAATGTATAATATCTATATTTTCAAATTTGCAACAGAAAGAGGATGATTATATACTGGAAACTTGTTACCCACCAGAGGTATTGCAAATGAGGATGATCCACAAATCCAAAAACAGGAGCTGCCAGTGAACAGCCAACGAGAGCTAGCTGTAAAACAGTGTTTGCCTAAACCAATGGAAGAAATTGGATTATAAATGGAGGCTCTTGCATTAACATACAAGTTGTCATGGTTGGTCATCCACTCACTGGGATGGCTGCATTGAAAATTATATGCAAATGTTGACCTTTTCTTTCAGTTTCCTCAAGAATAAAATTGTATTGAATAAGTTAATCCCAGAACAAAGTGGTGGAGTTGTGTTAACTTCAGAGCAGGCACAATTTTGGCAAGCCAGAGCTCACTATTCTTTTGGTGAATATCATAGCAGCCATCTTTGACTTTGACTTTGCAGAATGTTGGAGGGATCTAAAGAAATTTGTACCATGGGGAATAACAACAGTCAAAATAAAGAAAAGGGGAGGGGTAGACTAAGGGTTGTGCATTTTAAATCACATTTAACTCTGTTTTCTTATTTTGTGCGCACAAATCTCGTGTTTTTCATTTCTGTCAAATTTAATTGCAATTTTACTAGCTTTGTATTCTGATTTTAGCTATCACGGAATCAAAGTATTTTACATATGTCTATCAAGTTTAGAAATTTGCAGTCAGATACTGATGATAAAATACAAAATTCTCTTCACCATATCTGAAGGAAATGTAGAACCAGTTGGCAGGGAGAAATAGAAATCAGATCGGGGGGGTTGACTTACCTTGCCAAGGAAGTTGGGTCTAAGCTCCACTGTAGGAAAGTTAAAATCAAAGTACCTGGAAATAGTTTTCTACAGAAAACAAAATAGATATTTACAAACAGTCTAAGAGAAACAAAAAACAAATTGGGACTCTCACACACTGCATTGTTGGCATTTGTTTGTTGTGAAATACTTGGAAGCTTGACCAAGGTAAAAACCTACCGGTGATGGAAGTGAATTGTATCTCAAGTAAAAAGCATAGCCAATCAAAAGAGCATCTCGACTCAAAATCAAAGCAGTCAGGGAAACTGAAAAGAAGGAAATAAAGAATGTGTGCAAGGTCTAAACAAAAAGGACCCCCTATAATAGTTTGAGCCATGCTGTATTGATACTGTGAACCTTCTCTTGCCCAATTGTCTGCACCATCTGCCATGCAGTGTTCCTTCATTGATAAAAAGTGTTATTATATGGCTGTGTCTCCCAAGGACTGAGAACTACCAAATTCACAAATTTGATTGGCAGAAATCAATATTGAAAGTGGTCTAGATTTTCCCATCTAAACTGGTCTAGAAAAAAAAGGTACAAAGAATATAAAAAGTTGGCATATAAGACAGCCATATAATAAACATTTTATTAACCGAGCTAGGTCGGTCTGTATGGGAGAATCTTGACCTCGGTCGCTGGTACAGACCTCACTGCGTTCAGTCTGTACTGGTGACCTCAGTCAAAATTCTCCCAGACAGACCCCTGCTTGGTTAATAAGAACTAATTGTAGCAAGTCACATGGTCACAGTACTGTCTTATCTATTGCTGCATTAAGCCATTAAACTTTGGTCACAGATGTACATGGGTAATGATATAATTTTTATCATAATCTTGATCAATGCCTAAGACGGGGGTTGCCAGCCTACGGGCCTGTAGGCCTGGGCCGACATTTTTTTCTGTCTGCTTAACCTTTTATAATATGATTCTTGCAAATGTGTAAAACAAAAATTGAACTTTCTTAGGGAACAGGCACACAACAATTCAAAAAAACTGGCTAAGCCCAAAGTGCCCCTGTTCTCATTATCATTAGCACCTTTGTCATCATCATCATTATCATCATCATCAAGGACCTTTTTGTAACTTAGCTTGACAGCACCTAACCCTTGCCATCAAACATTGTCTTATAATTCTTTTTTTCATAAAAAGAGAAATTACAACCTACTGTATGAAATCTGAAAAACAGCATTCTCCGGCCCCAGCCAGACCAGTACTCATGGTCTTAAAATAACTGAGGAGAATTTGCTAATTTCTATAATATCAAGAAATGGATAGATATTCTAGTCTTCTCGGATAAGGACGAATAAACCGTAGGCCCCATCTCCTGCAAGGTTAGGGGTAAGAGACATTAATTTCCCACACACAAGATTACTGTGTGGTGGATGTCCTCCCCTGGGGTGGGATGGGTGGGTTT